CCTCTCCTGCCCTTAACCGTATCAAAACTACCTCCGCCCGCTCTACAGCCCTTTGCCCATCTCCAGCGGGGCGCCGGTATCTCAGCCGGGCTTCTGCCGGTCCGTGGAGACGTCTCCGTCGGGTACTCTCCTCTGCCGGGCAACTCGGTACGTCGAGACTATCTCCCCACGGCAGATTCGAGCACCTCGACCTCAACTAAACAATAACGAAATCTTACGAGAGCCGTGACATAACTATACGAATCAACCCGAGAGCGTAGCTTCTGAGCAGGGTGACAACCCGAAGGGAACCAGAAATCGAGAACGTTATCTGTATCGGTAACCGGAGCCGCCTTGGGACTGCGATTCGAAAAATCACGTCACAAGGTATATCAAGCGACGCAAAAATACCACGAATTTTTTTATTGGTTTCTACAAACTTTTTGAGGCCAAATTTTATTGGATGCATTGTCTAATTTCTTTTCTTCTTTATTCATTCATTTCTCTATCTTGAAATTCCTTAGGCAACGCAACTGCGGAACAATAATCCCAATCAGCACGATTCAGGGCATCGCAGTGGAATCGAATGTATATAGCTCAAGATATTGATTGGTTTATCCTTTTACGTTTGGTTTGTTCTTGACTCAACACCGAGTTCTGACGATTGCACTGGGTGCACTGATTGCGACCAGTACAGTGATTTGTTCTACGACTGAAGAAGTAGGCAACCAGTGATCATGATCAGCCTAGGCCAATCAGAGTCACTAAATACTAACCTGTCACTCAAGTACCTTTCCAGCAATATCCTTCGTCTTGTTGCCTCTAATCGATTCGAATTAAATTATTAATACCGTGAAGTGTATGGTTTATTCAAGAAATATCCAAGTGTCATCGATTAAGCAGAAATTTAGAAGATCAGCAAAGTCACTAGGAAGCATCTTCACTACGAACTTTTGATCGGTGGAGCAATTTGTGACACTAAGATCAGATCAAGGTTTTTCGTGAATCTACGGGATCTTTGGCTACGAACAGTTCATCCTGTTGGACTTGGTTCAGAAGAGCAAAAATCAAGACGAAAAGGGTGCACCAAGAGCCATGATGGTAAAGCACTCTGCTGCTCTGAAGAAACATGTATCTGTGATATATACACAGGAACCATGTAGACCAACCCTTCTAACACAACTACCAATGTTACAAATGACACTACTTTGCTACTAGTGATACTTGTACGATACTAGCAGTACTGCTGGTAAATTACACTTGATGCGTTCAAGTAAATAGACATCCTGCATGTTCCATGGCTGAATAAGAATGTAATACAAAGTTTTGTCAGTGGTTAAATTTTCTTCAGTCTTGTTTCGTTACTAAATGAATTCATAAAGCACGATTAACAATATCTAAACATCCCTGTGAGGTCTTGATTAATATATTATGTATTTGTATAAGAGGTTGGTACCTTTGTACCTTGTAATATTAAATTTACTAATAAATTTAAATAGTGGTGCTACTAAAAGTTGTTGCACATGTCAAATATGTATTTGAGCATATGAAGATAAACGATGATTAACTATTGTAAATAAGAATGCAGTCTTACAGCAATGTATTATCGTAATTGGAAAATTTAAGAAATCAATGGAATTTGTAGTTGTCCAGTAGCTTTATTTAATCCAACTTGCATCAGACCATCACTATCGTTAACAGGAGAACTTTTAAAGCTAGAGGAACTACGAATATAGGACATCTGTGGAGCACGTGGAAATTTTGAAAGTTTCTTAAAGTTTAATAACATTCATTGATGTTCTTTAACGTTGATGTTCGTTCGGGGGACTGATGGTTATACCACAGTTTACAAGCCAATGCTGTTCAAGGGGGACCATCCTAATGAACTAGAGACAGATTTTGCCTGCGCTGTAGCACCGGAAACAGCTTTGGACAAGGAACCTAAGAACCCTGTGATTCCAGAATCAGATGCCGCTTTGGATACAGAACTGGCTGCAGCGTTAGCACTCGACAATGCGCTGGATGCTCCTTTGCCGGCGCTCTTTGACAGTGCAGCGGCTGCGGCTTGGGATGCAGCACTAGCACTCGATAATGACTTGGATCCTCCCTTGCCAACGCTCTTTGACAGTGCAGCAGCGGCGGCTTGGGATGCAGCACTAGCACTCGATAATGACTTGGATCCTCCCTTGCCAACGCTCTTTGACAGTGCAGCAGCGGCGGCTTGGGATGCAGCACTAGCACTCGATAATGACTTGGATCCTCCCTTGCCAACGCTCTTTGACAGTGCAGCAGCGGCGGCTTGGGATGCAGCACTAGCACTCGATAATGACTTGGATCCTCCCTTGCCAACGCTCTTTGACAGTGCAGCAGCGGCGGCTTGGGATGCAGCACTAGCACTCGATAATGACTTGGATCCTCCCTTGCCAACGCTCTTTGACAGTGCAGCGGCTGCGGCTTGGGCTGCAGCACTAGCACTCGATAATGACTTGGACCCTGATCCTGGAAAGTTCATTGAATAAAAATTAACGAAGTCCTTTATCAAGAACTAACATTTGATACATAAAATACATATACATAATTGAATGACCTCAAAAGGAATTAATGTGAACGATATCATGCACTGTGATGAGTATTCTTCTCCCACTGTATCTATAATGAACGTAGCTACGCTTCCCACACTTCTCCTACTCACCAGGTCTTATGATTGGACCTCCTGGATTTATAACCGGTCCAGGACCATGGGGATGAATAGGATGTGGAATATGTCTTATTGGACCACAGCGACCAGTTCTCTGGTCACACTGGCTGCCTGGTAAACACGAAACAGCAGCACAATTTGGTATTTCGGGATGTGGAGTAACTGGGACACATCTACCAATATGGTCATTGCACACGTATCCTTCTCGACAGCGGACTATAGCACATCTTGAAGTAATAGGATAAGGGGATGCATAGACAGGAACACATCCGATACCATTGATGCATCGGTGATTGGGTGCGCATCGTATAACTTTGCAGTCTGGTAGATGGTGTGGTGCCACGTCTAGAATCGTATTAACAATGAATCTGGGATTGTGAATTTCCTTCATAGTGGTGATATGACTAGTTTTTTATTAACAAATAGTAGCCTAAGGTATTATGAATGAATTGATATTACCAATAAGTTGTCATTTCCTGTGAAGAATGATTTGAACTTTTCATTATGCACAAGATGCATGAAAACTACTTTTCAATGATTTTCAATCCCATTGCTACAATTTGTAGGTATGGCTTGTACTAAGGTCGCAAAACTATCGACAATTCTGTTAACTTTATTAGATTCAACAGTTTAATTAAAAAAGTATAATTTTCCGGAAAAACAATATATTCACAAGTATATAACACCTGCTAAATATACCTGTGAGTTTCAAGGGAAAAGTATTATTGGCCTCTGATTTTCCATCTGAATATAGTATATATGACAGAGTGGGAAAACAAAATGAGTAATATCATGAATGATTAGAGTCCCAGAAAACGTATACCGTCCAAAAGTCGAATTTAGGACCTCTAGTTCAACAGAAGTTGTCTTTTGGCATCCTAAACATGACTAGGATTTATATGTCGTCTGGGATGGGATTACATAATTCCGACAAACGTTACAGCCGAAATTCGTTTACGTCAAAAGTGAAATTATAAAATACCTCCAAGTGTTTTGGATCCAGCCTTGGCTTTAGCAGCAGCTGCAGCAGCGGCATTAGCAATCGCAGATAAGTGTCCGTGAATTCCTGATTTGGATGCTGAGCTGGCATGAGACGCGGCTAGGGCGGCGGCCTGAGCACTTGAAGCCGATTTGGATGCTGAGCTGGATTGAGAAGCGGCTTGGGAGGCAGCCTGAGCACT